CTTTTTCGGACTCCTTGCCTCGGAAAATTAGTAGATATGATGCTAGATCGACCTTTGACATAAATTCCATGCTTCAAGACTCGATATCAATTGGTACTTATTCATTTAAAAAGAAAAACTATTAGAATTGATTAAAATCGATTTAAAAATTTTAATCGATTTTAATAGATTAAAAATCGAATAATCTGAGTAAAATTGAGTAAAATAGTCAATGAAAAAATTTTAATCGGTTAAAATGGATATTTATAAATTTAATTTATTTTAATCACTAGTTTGATTAAAAACCTGGTTAAAACTGTCCCCATTTTAATCTATTTTTAATCACAAAAAAATCGATTAAAATCAGATTTTTTCCAATCTTTTTTTTTTATATGAGTGATAATCTAAGTACTGTCCATTTAATCGTTTTACTGACCATTTAATCTTTTTACTGATCATTTATACATTTTTTACTGACCATTTATCTTACTGATCATTTCATATATTTTCCTGACCATTTCATTTATTTTACTGACCGCTTAATAATATCCCTTTGTTTTATTTCTTACATATTGTCGGAAAGCATCAGAGTCGTTTGCGTTTCAAATATCGAAAAATGTCATCTCATGCAAAGAATAACATTTCAACAAAGAGAACATAATTTATGGTCAGTAAAATAAATGACGTGGTCAGTAGAATAAATAAATGGTTAGTACACAATGAATGATCAGTGAATTATTTAAATGGTCAGTTATTAAATTAATTGTTTTGTTAATATATTTAAAAAAAAAAATTTATATTAAAGAGTAAATATGAAAATCGAAGTATATTATAGTGTCATCCTCACATTAACAAAAAGCGCCTGAAAAGCAATTAATAAAACAAACAAAGCTAATGAAACAATTAGAGAGCATCATGCTTTATCGTGATTTTTGGCACTAGTTTTAAACATTGTCGATAATTGGTGAAGTGAACGAAGTTCTTCCTCAATTAATGCAGAAATATTTGTTATAGAATCGACAATATCTTTAGAATTACAGACTTTATTGTATCAATGTGTTAAATCAACAAAAACCATAGGTTCCCTTCCAAGATGATGCTTCGAAACAATATTATGTTCCAGCTCGTCATTTGCAATCGATTGCATAAACTGATTTAAATAATTATGTAAATAAAAAGTTGCCAGCCTTTAATCAACTAAAAAATAATTTGATATTTGGCGTTTGAAAGTGGAACAGGATTTAGATCGGAAAACAGCAAATGCAACTGTTCAGCTTTTTTTAAGAACTACATATGCAAAGACGTTGTCGATGTGTCTATTTCTTGGAAATATTGCAAACTATTAGAGGTAAAAATAGTATCGACCTATAAGAAAAGAAAAGAAGAGATAGACCAATAAAGGCTAGAGCTACTTTCCTAGTACAATAATTGATTTTCATTCTCTTTTTTCCCTTTTATTCTTTGTGTATCCATTTACTGATCTTCTGGATTTCTTTCTATCTATTTACTCTTTAGTTTTTTCTATTTATTTAAATTTAATTTTCTTATGCTAAATTGATCTTTATACCAATAAGGGGTAATTTTTTTCTGCTGTCAAAATCTGCATTTTCACTTATCAAGTTTTAATTGTTTTACTGATACTTATATATAAAATACTAGCAATTTTATGATTAATTACTGACCATTTTATAATTAAATATAAAACTTTTTTATTTTTAACAGCAACGAAAATTTTTTTTTGTAATTGACAATATCAGCCAAGAAAGACTATCGAAAACGACAGAATTTACTTTTGCAGAAAAACTGCAAAAGTAAATTCTGTATAGACTATCTTTATGATGAACTTCACTGACATTGTGCAGTTACATCGGCACTATTACATAGTGACATATATACCACGATCATTGAATGTTTTTCGTTCTTCGTATAGTATACATATAGGCTGTTTATAACCAGCAAACTATTGTTTCTACTATACGATGACATCATTATACATTCTTTTTTCTTTTTTTTATCTTCCATCTATACGAGATAGATCGACAATAATCCTTTACTTAGTATCGAAATGCGTCCATATATGCTGCCATAGTTATTTCGAAATATAATATATAAGTTTCTACTATACGATGACATCATTATACATTCTTGTTTCTTTTTCTTTATCTTCCATCTATACGAGATAGATCGACAATAATCCTTTACTTCGTATCGAAATGCGTCCATATATGCTGCCATAGTTATTTCGAAATATAATATTTAAGTAAATGAACGACATAATATTGAAATATAAAACTTTTTATTTTTAACAGCAGTGAAAATTTTTTTTTGTAATTGACAATATCAGCCAAGAAAGACTATCGAAAATGACAGAATTCACTTTTGCAATCTATCTCATATAGATGGAAGATAAAAAGCAAAAAAATGTATAATGATGTCATCGTATAGTAGAAACAATAGTTTGCTAGTTATAAACAACCTATATGTATACTATACGAAGAACGAAAAACATTCAATGGTCGTGGTATATATGTCACTATGTAATAGTGCCGATGTAATTGCACAATGTCAGTGAAGTTCATCATAAAGATAGTCTATACAGAATTTACTTTTGCAGTTTTTCTGCAAAAGTAAATTCTGTCATTTTCGATAGTCTTTCTTACCTGATATTGTCAATTACAAAACATTTTCGCTGCTGTTAAAATCAAAAAGTTTTATATTTCAATATTAAGTCGTTCATTTACTTATATATATTATATGACCATTGTACTACTGACAATTCAATATTTCCACTGATCATTTATGTAAATTTTTACTGACCGTTTCATTGATTCTACTGACCACGAAAATGATAGCCTTCAACAAATGTTTGTAGCTTTTGATTCATTCGAGTTCTAATTTATTGAAATGTATTATTTTATAGAGTATTAAATGCTGTACGATAATAGGAAGCGAAAACTATCCCAAAATAATGTTTAATGAAATTATGAATTACAGGGAAAACGTCTATTTCGCGTAGTGCAAACGAAATTATTTATATATTCGATGTTTGCTTCCTGTTAACTAGCCGTAGTTAGAAATATTTAGAAAGAGAATAACAGTATCCTTTTAGCTAGCTCCTTTTTATTCTATTTTACGAGCGACACGGGGGCGAAAATCGAACAGTGATTTTGTGACAAGACTTTTTACACACAGGTCAAGAAAGAAAAGCTTTTACTCTACTTTACTTTTAGAAAATAAAAGGGGAGTAAAAGTATCACCCCTAGTGGCAACGTAAATAAAGCAAAATAGCTTCGATCTCGTTACTGACTTGTCTCTGAATACATTCATGGCTTGATGCACTAGACAAAATATTGATTTAGGCCGTTTGAATTGTTTGCTATCGAGAAACTTCAAATGTTTGAGAAGTGTAAATGTATTCACAATCATATCATCATCGGTTTTTAAAATATAACTCGCTTGTGGACAATAGTTTGATATCCATTTTAATGCCATTATTGCTTTATACGATAGATTTCGATAAGAATCGATGAAGTCTTCTTGAACAATATCTTCATACAAGTCATTTTCATAATTAATTGCTTGCATTATCTTGTCATCGGTCGTTTGGCCAAGCATAAAAACGAGGCGAATGTCAGGGAAGAGATTTCGTGTAGTCCAGGTCTCTCGAATGAGCACACGACGTTTATAGTTGGTCGGAGCTGAGTGAACGTAAATAATAACATAAACATTGCCTTGACAGATGTTCCAGCCTGGATTGAGAATGTAGCTGAAATTGTGAGGATTGACAATGTGATCCTGTGGTACATATGGATTGAAAGGAATTGAAGTGTTGTTCGAATCGATTTCGTCGATCTCTTCTTCGCTTTCAACTGGATAAATGCAAAAAGAAATGAGGGCGACCAAGACGAATCCAATGATCTTCATTCAGTCTTCGTAGCAACCTAGTAAGACAAATCGAGAATCAGAATAGGATTTTTGGCGAAGAAAGTCAAGAATCAGAACAACACTCTAACTAAAAATGTGTCGTGCATCCCAGCATAAAAATGTGCCGCGCTTAGAATGTATCGTATACAATTTTGTCGCATTCTGTTTGTTCACTATTCATTCATCGTTTTTGTTATGTACGCACAGCCATATATGAGCAACACGGTTGAAACTAAGGAAGATAAATACTTTCACAATAATTTTTTTCTAGATTATTTCTCGATATCTTATTGATCGAGAAAATGCCAATCTCGATCAATATTCGAGAGAGGACTGCCCTGAACCGGTCTCACGGAGATCGGGCCAACTCGAGGTTGGACAGGTCTCAAGATCTAACCTCTTGAGTTTTCAAAATAGGAATAATGATAATGGAATTAAATTAAAAAAAATTCATAATATTCTTCTTCAGAAGAACCGATAAAAAATGTGTCGCATGTGTCGTAAATCACGACACATGCGACACGTTTTAACTTAGTGTGAACAGTGAAATGAAAAAAAGATTCATCTTAAACACACTGCCCAGGTAGACAAACTTTTGAAAAAACGCGTTTAAACGTACAGAAATTGGTCTAAAATCAGCAAAAAGTGGACGTTTTTGACTCACATTTGAGGCTCCCGGCTGTGAGCCGAAAACGCCCATTTTTCGACCTCTTTGTGCGTTTAAACGCGTTTTCAGACAAAAAACACGTTTACACGCATACAAAAAAGAGAAAAAAGTTGTTGAGTTTTTCCAGTTCAAGGAACGTGACTGTAATCATGATCGTGCATCCCAAGTATGAAAAAACGATCATTTTTCTCTTTGTTGTATACATATAAACGCGTTTTCAGACAAAAGACGTGTTTACACGCATACAAAAAAGAGAAAAAAGTCATTCCTCATATTTCACATCTACGGATAAGATGTGTTCTCTATCTTCTCGTATCTATTATATACATACATATATACATTTTTTTTTCTTATCACGTGATTCATCGATTAACTTAGTATATCTTTTTTTTTGGTGGTTTAATTGAAAATCTTCCACGGTCTTATAGGCATGCTAGACAGCATGCGTAATGTAGCTTTATCCCATCCTGTCGACCATTCGACATCTCAACAACATATCACCAACAATAGAACTGTTCAAAATCAAGGTTCAGTTACTTCATCAACTACACATTCGAATTCTTGTACCAACCAACCACCGTTATTATCACATTGTTTTCCTGTTCCTAGTACTGATAGTGTCATGACAAATCAATCTAGTTCATCGAATGTCAATAACACCACCATTCATTGTTCAATGCTCAACCATCCATGTTATACCACCAACTGCCATCATCAATCTCCATTGAATTTCGTCTATAGCCAAGATAATCAAAATGTTACACCAATGGAAAGTGAAAATGATAATGGTTTTACACTCGTCAAACGGAAAAAGAAAAAGAAAAAAATTGATCTTCAACAAAATCAAAAATCTTCATCTTCATCTTCATCCTGTTCTTCATCACCAACAAGTTCAACAAATGGATCCACTTCTTCAACAAACACCAACAGTATTATTAATCATGTTCAACCGACAAGTGCTGTTGCTATTCATTTACAACCAAATTCACTTGAAGTTAATGCACCTGTTTCAATTATTAATCCATTTAGTATTGAAATATCACAACAGGCACGACAGTACGCGGAAACGCGTTATGCCTTTCCGCCATTCATCATCAAATTCCAACAAGATATTAATGAAAGTTCAGTATTAAAGTATTTAACAACCCATTATTCTTACAATTATAATTCGAATTTGAATTTCGCTGGTCATCGACTAAAACTTAAACGTGATTTATTATTATTTGTTAATGATCGTGAATCGTTCTCAATGCTCTATGATGCTTCAAAATGGCCGTCGACCATCGAATCACTCAATTTTGAAAAAATTCTACCTAATCATCTACCACATCAATTTTCATTAGTTCTTAAAAATGTTCCATTTGATATCGAAATTGATACATTACTAACAAACATTAAATCTATTTGTCCAGATGTAATGAATGCACATCGAATTCTTAATAAAAATCAACACCCTACCACATTAGTTCGACTTGATATTAACAATATAAATGTCATTGATGAATTAGTTGGTAAGAAATTTCTTTCTATTGATAATTTAAAACTTGGAGTGATGGAATACTTGGCGCCAGCTAAGGTGTTGATATGTAGCAAATGCTACCAGATTGGACATTTTAGAAGTACCCGTAAAAGTACTTTAGAATATTGTAAAATATGCGGATTTAGTAGTAAAGATCTAAATCAGCATAAAGAAAAATGTAATAAAAAAACAATGTTGTATTAGATGTAAAGGTTCACATGATTCCAACGATGTACGTTGCCCTGATGTTAAAACATACAGGGCCGTACTCACAAAATCTCTTTTAGCTAAAACAAGTACAATGAATCATCAACAAAATAATCAATCAAAGTTCCACTATAAAGATCAAGTTTATCCATCATTAAATACGAATTACAACAACAATCATCATAGAATAAATAATTTATCAAACATTTCAAGTAAACGAATTGATGAACTATACCACAAGTTGAGCAATTTAGAAGGCAATTTGAATCGTCTATTAGATTTAAATAACAACTATGCTGACCAACGTACTCGTACACAACAAATAATTATGAATCATAATCGTGATATACAATTACAACAAATCGACGGTGCATTCCAACGTGATTTCGTCAGTCAATTTATTTCTCCAATTTGTCAAGTAATGGTTGAAGTGATTCCGGTCTTAGTTAAACAGAATGTATTGAACGATAAAACCTTACTTTGTCCTTCGCTATTAGCACTTTGTGCCAAACTAGGAAATGATCTCCAGGTATGGACAAATAAGTACTTACAAAATGAAGATACAAAATTAAAACTCATCAACGATTTTAACCTGAACAATCATCATCTCTCGGTTAGTTTCATTAGCAACCAACCACACTAACCACTCTCCAATCAATAACTTCAATAAGAACTTCGTACAACCTGTCCCCTCTCGCTGAAGTATTTACCCCAACCACAGTGAAAAAGAAAAGCTTCGATGTTGAATATGCCCTCTCTTGCACCGCGCAATACCTTTCTGATTTTGACTTTAGTTTATTATCTGATATTGTTAATGAGTGGTTTTCTCTACCTACTCTCTCTGCTTGTTTTTCTTACTGGAAAACCTTCAGTAACGTTTGTACATACTCACTGTCCCATCAATTTCAGGTTCTTCTTTTCAATGTACGAGGTCTAGAAGAAAGGTGGGAAGAAGTATTATTATTAGCTGAGAAATACCAAGTAGATTGCATTATCTTAACTGAAATAGGAGCAATCGAGCGAGCACAAATAAAACAGATTTTCGCAAATTATAAGTTTTTTACCAAAAAGGTGAAAATTCTTGGGAAGGCGTTCTGATGTTGTTTAGACTGGGTATACCAGTAGTTCACATAAAATCCGACGTTCCTAATGTATGTGTTGTTGATGTTAATCTCGGAAGAACAGTACGTATAATCGGTATCTATGCTCCAAAGAGTAAAACTTGGGAATGGGACCTCCTTTCACGTCACATCACTGATGAATGTTGTATATTCGGAGATTTTAACATCGATCTAGAGAGCAAGGTTGATGAGAGATCTGCTAAAAGTTTATTGGATTGGTCTGGAGCACTAGCACTTGCTCCAATTTTGCCCAAATCGTTCACATCCCTGCGATTCGATCGGGTCATTGATTACGCATTCACACGTAGTATCCCGCTTTCGATTCAAACTTGTGTAGATAATACTACCAGTGATCATAAATCGATCCTGGGAGTACTAAATTGCGAAAGCAAGAAAAATGCATTAGGTAGTGATACACATGGGAAAGTCTTTCACTATTTCCTCACACTGACCTCAGAATTCTGGGAGAATGAAAGCAAGCTCTGCTCTGTCGATGAATACTATGAGAACTTTATTACGCTACTGGATTATCTAAAAGCTCGATGTACAAGCTTTTTTCCGATAAATAAATACCGCACTGCGATTCCTAACGAACTGAGACTGAAACTATCCTACGTACGTGCCTTATCCTTTCAGGATAAAAGAACTGGAGATGTTCTGTTACACAAAGAAATTAAAGAAATGAGAAGAATAAATAGGAAAGAGTTGATTGCATTCCGCTCAAGAAAACTAACAAATGCACTAAAGGAAAGGTTGACCTCATCGTCAAATTCAAATTTATTTTGATCCAAACTGAGAAAAAACTTTAGAATCACTAACTCCCTCGATGCTTTCATCGATGGAAACAACAAGCCCGTCAAAGATACACACGTTATGCTCGAACTAGCTGCTTCTCACTACGAGAAGCTCTTCTGTGAATCTCACGTATATCGCCCACATCCTTATGTAGATAGTCCAGAAATACTATGGGATAATTATGAGGATCCTATCACCCTATCTCTATGCCGGAACTCATAAAAACGATATCTAAGGTGAAGAAAAAGCATTCCACGGACGCGCATGGCATATCAGCTTACATGCTCCAATTTATTCCTAATACATACCTGAGAGCATTACTTGAGTTATATAATGAATCACTTACCACATACACGACATCTTCCTATTGGAAACACATAAAGATGAAATTGCTAGCCAAAAAGGAATCGATCTGTTACGTGAAAGACACTAGACCGATTTCTCTATTAGATATTTTCTTAAAGGTGCTAGAACGGTTGTTTTTATGTCGATTCCAGCACATACTTAAAAATAGAGGTATTCTGAATGACCCGCAATCTGATTTCAGATCAAATTTTAGGTTACAGACTCTTGTGCTTAATTTGATCGATCAAATCTCTTCATTAATGAGTACAAGCGCACCAGTAGTCACCATCTTTGTGGACTTCAAACAGGCTTTCGACTAGCTCTGGTGGGCTGGATGTCTAGGTAAACTCACTCGTCTAGGTATACCAAAAGCTTACGTAATGTGGATTGATTGCTGGTTAAAGGACAGATGAGGCTTTATTGAAATAAAGGAGAAACGTTCAAGATTCTTCCCGATCTCCAAAGGGAGACCCCAAGGTTCATGCTTGACCCCTGCCATCTTTATTACTTACCACAGCGATATGTGGACCTTCCTAGAAAGTACTCTTCCTAACTTTTTTGCTGACGATTTAGCATGTGTGATGGGAGGTATGATGGGAACCAAGTACTCACAGCAATGTCTCGACCTAGAGGCTAAACTCAAGAAATTGTTTGAGTACCTAGAGTATTATGCCACCCTATCTGTACAACCGATAAACTATGAAAAAACTGATCTACTATGGTCAGCACACGCTGTTGGTAACCCTAGTTTTAATATCACAATAAGTGATCATTAAATCGTTTGGGTCAAGTGTTTTTGATATCTCGGTTACCACATATCGTGCAAACTTGGTTGGAACAAGATGATTTCCTTGTACAAAAGTAAGATTAGACAAAGAGTAGTCATAGTGAAGTCATGTCATATGTATGGTTCTTCTTCTCATGAATTTCGTAGAATCCTGTTCTCCGCCTATGTCCTACCCCTATTCACGTGGCTGTTTAGTATATTCCCCCTATTCACTGATTGTCAAAAGGACGATCTTAACCAGTTTTATTACACTTGTTTAAAGCGAATTCTAGGAGTTCCTAACTGGAACGACTTCCTCTTTGCGCCCCTATATGATGAAAAATTCTAAGAAATTCTATGCGCAAGATACTGGAGAAAATGTTATATCCATCTGAACAGTTCAATAGATGGATTCATGTTGTTTGAGCAGCAAGTGTTAAATTCGTTCAGAAACCAGTGGCTTGACAAGGAATATGTAGTGAGATGTGTGTATCGGTCCAAACGGTTGGTACCATTCGTTCCGAGCATTGAGTATTGTCTAAGGTGGTTAGAAAATAACGCTACCGATTCTATTCCTTTTATACCTAAAGATGACCTCGTGATATTCTCTGAATTTCCTCAGACATTCTTTTAGATAGCAAGTGTTCTTCATTCGTGTCTTTCTCGTTTTTTTATGCGTATGTAATATTATTTTTCTTTTTCTGTTCTTCCTTCTGTTTTTTTGTTGTTGTTTACATACTTAGGTTCCTCTGTATCGTTCGTTTGTTGCCCCACTCCTTTCTATTGGCCTTGTGTTTCCTTCCTTCTTCTTTTTACCTTTACTTTATCCTCTTTTTTATGTTTCCCATGGTTCTTCTCTCGTTCTCCTTGTTTTTCCCTACATATTTTCTACTAGTCACATTGTTAACTTATGGACGATGTCTTAAAAGGCCTACGGGCATTAATTCTTCCTTCAACAAAGCCTAATAAAAAAAAGAGAAAAAAATTGTTGAATTTTTCCAGTTCAAGAAGCGCGACTGTAATCATGATCGTGCATCCCAAGTATGAAAAAACGACCACTTTTTCTCTTTTCTATATACGTGTAAACGCGGTTTTTGTCTGGAAATACGTTTAAACGCACAAAGAGGCCGAAAAATGGGCGCTTTTGACTCACAGTCAGGAACCTCAAGTGTGAGCCAAAAACGTTCACTGTTTGCTGATTTTAGGCCACTTTCTGTGCGTTTAAACGTGTTTTCTCAAAACTTTGTCTGCTTGGGTGCTTCCGAGATGAGCCAAAAAACTGTTACCGCAGTCTTGATGTGCTAACACGTATTTTGAATGAGCTATTTTGAGTCTACAGAAGAATGCAAATAATAACCAACCAAAAATCACAAGAAACAAAATTTTGCACAAAGACTTCAAAACCGACAAAGAAAAGGATAGTATTGGAAAAAGTTTTCCCGAAATGAGCACAATAAACTAAATCAAATAAATTTTTGTGTTATTTTTCACGTGTGTTCAATCCTCATATTATAACCTATCGAATAATAACCTGGCTGCCACTTAAGGCCCTTCTGTGTTCAAATACAAGTAAACAGAAGAAATATCATATATAGCTGTTAGCCTCTAATGGAAGGGTAGAGACTTTGAAGTAGGCTTGATTGTCAAAGGAAAAAATAGGAAGTGATTGATTGAAGTTGTGTTTATTGAATCTTTTTCTTAAATCTTATCTAACTAGGAATTTCAAATTCAGCAATTACTCACAGTTGGAGCTAGTATATCACATTGACAATGACTATGAGCATGATGGACTTCTGTTACAAGAATGCTGTGCTATCATTTATTGAGGAATATTTGAAATCTTTATTTTTCTTTAATCCTGTAAGTATCAGCGTGCTTAATAAAACAGACAGTTTTTACATTTTATAAATTTCGAATAACTGACCATCGTGAAACGATGTCGAAATGTGTTTTCAGTCATGACAGCGAAGAGACTTCGATGCATATACATCTGCATAAGATTTATCATTCTAATGAGATCACTCAAGTAGTAAGCTTGATGGATCTTTGCATGAGCATTTGTATTTTAAAAAGAAGGAGAGCGGATAATACACTTTTGGCACGGCGCCAATATCTCTGAAGAACTCTAGTAGCACTACAATAATTCAAACGTTACATGTTCAGCAATACCTCAGATCGAGTCAAAACAGAATATCTGTGCAATAGTTTACCGAGATTCGCAGACGATTCTCTGAATATCAGCAAAAATTCTCTGCGACACTTACTCTGTCAATGCGCGGTCTGAATCAGATAACGAATGCTCATATGCTGAAATTCAAGCTATTTCTAACCTGACATGTACGAGGGAACCAAATGAAAACTACAGTGTCGAGTCTGTAATACTAGTTCTTGATCTTCTCGTATAGTTTTATCAGGCTGATTTGAGAATGTCATTCTCCAGCAGAGATTCCATCGCGGCTGGGAATGTGCCGCTGCCGCTCCTCGATGAGTTTAGAAACATCAAATCTTACCGCTACCGCACCGCAATGCTTCGACAACTGAAGGTCACCGCGCCGCATCCGCGACGTTATAAATAGTACGATCTATAGCAAGCTCTCTGTTCTCTAATAAAAAACCGTTTTTGTAGCATATAGTTGGTATGAGTTATTACGTCAAATATCAGTATGTGAAGAAATGGATAACAATCATGAGTTCCTCAGAGCTTCAATTGAAGAACAAACATACAGCGAATGACCGGGAACATCTGAACACTTGAAATATTAAATTACTTAGGGTTGACCAAAAGTTTTGATTACAGCAATACTTAGCCATATAGTAAGCTTTAAGAAACTTTCTTTCTATATGGTCTGATAGAGAAAAGAATGCTCTATTTTTCTATGCTATTTGATCATACTTCAACTAATTTCGTGATAATAAATTTTCGATAAGACATTTTTCGTTATCATTTTGTGCTCTAGTAAGTTTCGCGTTCCAGTATCCAATTTCTTAATCCGTTGTATTAACAACCAAAATATACCATAAGGCGCAGCGTGAAAAGCTCTACAATTTACACAAAATCGCTTACTTTATAGTTGCACTTTTCGTTTTTAATATAAACAAAGTCTTCACGGTCTAAATTTTGGGCATTACAAAAATTGATCCTACGGAATTTTCCTTCTTTTGAAAACAATTACAATAAGCTTTACTATGAAGATTGTAGAACTTGTCGCGCTGCATCTTGTTGTGTATTTTGTTTTCTTTTGATAAAGCATATCAGGTGATGAAATGATGAAATAACAAAAAATGAAGACGCCATGTTTCAAAAACATTACCAATTTCGCATAATCGAAATTTGATCGCCCAAAATTTTGTCCATTTAGAAAAAAGAAAAGTGCAACTATAAAGTAAGCGGTTTTATGTAAATTGTAGAACTTTTCACGCGGCAGCTTATGATATATTTTGGTTGTTAATACAACGGATTAAGAAATTGGATACTGCAACGCGAAACTTACTAGAGCACAAAATGATAACAAAAAATGTCTTATCGAAAATTTATTATCACGAAATTAGTTGAAGTATGATCAAATAGCATAGAAAAATAGAGCATTCTTTTCTCTATCAAATCATATAGAAAGAAAGTTTCTTAAAGCTTACTATATGGCTAAGTAACGCTGTGATCAAAACTTTTGGTGAACCCTAAGTAAATAGAAAGCACAATATTGATCAAATAGAATACTCTTATTTCGTTTGAATAACTGATATTTTAGCCTGGAAAAAGCGAGAGATTGTAGGAACTTAGAGAAAGCAACTGACCCTATGGAAACATAATTTGATATGCTCATGAAGTACTTGAGAATCTTGGCCAAGAAACTTATGCACTATAGATAAATCTTGAAATCTATGAACAGATAAACAATTCGCTATTCTTCACTTTACTAAAATGACTATAATATAGTTACTACATATATTCTGTTTGTATTGGTTTGCTTTGAATCATAGTAAAATAGTCTACTCAAGTATTAAATTTTCTCGGAAAAAAATCGAAATTTCAACCGCTGTCGCGTCGCACCGCGACGGTAAAAACACAAAAGTTGCCGCTAACGCCATGGCGGCAGCGGTAGCACCACCATGAACATCTCTGTTCTCCAGAGCTCGAAAAACTACTCTTACGTGCGAAACTTGACTCTGTGACAAACCTTCTCAGTTAGTTGAGGAAACGCTGTTCTGTCGTTAAAACGATGTTTAATGTCATATCGTTTAAACGATGTTATATTGACCAAATTACGCGTTTATCACAAAAAACGATTTTGTATGTCATAAAGCACTATTATGCTCTTGTCGTTTAAACTTCGAATTGTCAATGTCATAAATAGTGATTCGTTGACGTTAAAACCATAATTTTTTATTATTTCACCTGTCGTAAACGATTCTTTACTTGAAAAAAAAGGTTTAATATTCAAGAATCATCTTCGTCTTACTTATAACTTGACCATTCATCTAATTTTATTAATTTGATGATGGACAATACACATTCGTTCTTTTCTCAATATCTCAATACATTCCAATGGGTAGGTCTCATTTTGTTTTCGAAAAAGCATAAGTTAAATCTTTAACAAGTTAAAATATTTATTTAAAGAAATGAAAATTCGGCATCTATATAACATAAGACATGAGTAGAAGTCTTTTCTACAAACTTTTCTTTTTGTTTTGATATTTGTTCAAAAGACTTCTAATCATGCCTTATGTTTTAAAGATGCATGAACTTTCATTTCTTTAAATAAATATTTTAACTTGTTGAAAATTTAACTTCTGCTCTTTCGAAAAAAAATGAGGCCTACTCATTAGAATGCGTTTAGATATTACAAAAACCTGACTACACTCTTTCTTCTGACACATCGATCGTTTTTTAGAGTTTTTTTTCTATACTCTTCGTAGGTAATTAGAAATTTGTCGATCGCTCAAGGATGATGCGTTTCCTTACATCTGATAAATATTCTGCCGAAATCTTCTCAAGTTTTCGTTATAAATTCTCAAGTCTAGTTTATTCTAATATCTATGGAGAAATATATAATTACTTACAAAGTTGTGATTTATGATAATCTCGATGAATAATGAAAGAAAAATCTAAATTAGTTTATTAGTATCAGATATGTATGTGATAATGAAATTTAGATTTTTAAGAAGAATTAATGAATTGATACGACAAACGAAAAATTCTAGGGGAAAACTACCATAGATAAAACGATGTCAATTTTTTGATATATTTTATCAAAAGAAGATATTGAACAGCTAAACTATTGACGTACTTCTAAAATTTATTCATTGTTGAAACTATTTTTTTTCTCATTCTTTAACAGTCGTCTGTCGTAGATAAAAAATAATTTATTGCTACAAAAGTTAATAGAGCAGCTAAGTTTTTTATTTGATTACTGTAATCTTTATGACTTACGCATATTTATCATCTAGTTGTTCGTTTAAGATTTATGCTGAAAACGTAATATATACTCAGCATTATATTCTTTTTATGGTATAAGACTTAAAAAATTAAAGTTTCTTCGCGTAAGAGTTTCAATCGACGGCGAACTCAGTAAAATAACAAGCTCTATAATGAAATCATTAATGAAACTAAGGTATTTAACATTTTTTTCAATTGATTTATTAAGATCAATCAGTGTGACGTTTTTTTTCTAACTAAGAACATTATCAAACACAAATAAATAGACAGAAGAAGAATATATATAAGAGTAAAATAATGTCTTCGTTTTTCTATTCTATTGTTTTAAACATTCTAATGCAGACGGATCAATTTTACTCCCCCCGTGCATTGAAATGCTTAAAACAATAGAATAAAAAACGATGACATTATTTTACTCTTATATATATTCTTCTTCTGTCTATTTATTTGTATTTGATAATGTTTTTAGTTAGAACAAAACGTCACACTGATTGATCTTAATAAATCAGTTTAAAAAAATGTTAAATAGCTTAGTTTCACTAATGATTTTATTATGGAATGTGGTGCTACCAAATGACAAATAAGTTCTATATTATATATTTTTTCTACGAATATCGTATTTTGTCAACTATCTCGATGGAATGTACAAGAAAGTTTTCCACAAATACTATCCTAAGAAAAAGCAAAAATAAACGCAGAACGTAAGGTGAAACTAAATCCTCTACATCATTCAATTCTGAAGACTTCTTCTATTAGAGGTATCTGAATCTTTTTGCTCATGTTTTCTTAGCTCGACCAACGATCAATGAGAATCCTTATTCACAATTCGTATACAGTAAATATGTGAATTTCTTCGTAATCTGAATAGTATTTTAGATTAAATTCAGATATCATTCATGTAGGGTGTGGGTGTGGGGTGGGTGTGGGTGTGTGGGTGTGGGTCTGGGTGTGGGGTGTGGGTGTGGGTGTGGGGTGTGGGTGTGGGTGTGGGGTGTGGGTGGGGGGTGTTGGTTACTCTACGTCACACCTACATTCCATTCATACTCACATTCACACCCTCAAGAAAGAGTCGAATATGAGGCTAACTTTATTTATGTAAGATTAAAATATATTTTCGACGACGATCAGATTATAAATGAAATAATTAATAATTATTAGCTAAGTAGATTATTTTCTTGAAATTGATTAACGAAAGTTAATCATTGTGATTGGATTATCCTGCAAGCAGTGAAGGCCTCAAAAAAATAAAATTTTTATGCCGATGATAATAAAAAATACTCGTGAT